TCTTGCTGTTATTACATCTCAGTGTAGTGTAGTCATACGGTGCTCCTTTACCGCTTCAAAAACAATTATTATTTCTAGAATCTCCAACGGTCCGTTTGGATGGAAATGTTTTGTGCAAGTTGCCCATGAACATTTCCAAAACATTAGGTCGCTGGAGGTAGCATCGCGCGCCTTGGTCGTGCACCTCGTTTTCGGTCCCGGTATGGCTTAATAACCTGCACAATCTAATGATTGGGCCACACAAATGAGTTGCCCATCTCCTTTGGACCAAATAACCTCAAGGAGGGATGAAGCGCCGCACTTCCGCCACGATGTATCAGCTCAATCACTTCACCATACAACAGCTCATTATAAATTTTGTCGCAAAAGGCCATGGCACGTCGCCCGTCCGCCTATTCTACGTTGAATCTCGCCAATAAGCAAACATTGTGCAGGAAGGCAGCCACAGAGCCATCATGGACACTGTCTCTGTTTTACAAAGGCGAGACGTATACCCCCTTCAATATTTATACAGCGATGAAGTGGTGCTCAGAAGGTTGGCAAGACGTATCGACAATGACCATTCGAAACTGTTGGAATCACACTGGTATTGTGTCGAAGATGGATTTGAGATTTGTACTTAATTAAGGTAATACAAAGTAGTACATTTGGATTCCATCTGCTCCTCTATAAATATTCGCAGCTCGTAGACTCTATATGGTCCACCCCGGGTGCACGACTGTACATGTACTGTAGTCGCCATTGGCGACTTTGCCCATTGCAAAGTTGCGTGCCATAGACTGTGGCATCAATCACAGTCATGTTTCATAGAATCCAACGCATTGGACGCTGGTCAAATGGCATGGTGCGGTTGCGTTTTGGTGACCGTCCTTCACAAAAGTAGCACTAGTCAGACAGTGCGGATTATGCGGATCTGAACCAAACAGCTTCAATCCCGTCAATGACCACTTTGAAGACCGTCGACGTCGAAAAAGAACGCCACAGAACGGAGATGATCGCTGTACAGTAAATGACCGTCTCCAATCTAACGTTTTAGTTCCGACCTTACCGTATTTTAATGCTGTAACTTTTCTATAAAATATATAAATAAATTTAAAAACAGCAATGGTTGTTTACAGTGGTCGACAGCATCGAGAAGGCTTTAGTAGTTTTTTTTTTAAGTTTGGCAATAATTGTAAAGCAGCCCAGCTTGGCAATGCCAAGCAACGCCCACCGAGCATATTGTTTAATGTACGGAGCTCAAGGATACTTGTCAGGTGTGACACAGCTTGTTCAACAAGCGACAATGTCAGTCCGACATCAAAATGACTCAGACTTTGAGTCATTTGGACCTTTGAGTCAGAGGTCCTTACGCTCCACTTCACCGAATTCGGAGGGATTCATTGCCGTCTTGAATCGCCCCGGCCCACCGTGGCCCACGAGATCACTCAACGGCTGTCGCTAGCGTGCCGCGTTGAAGCTGATTGAACCGGGATGGTCGTCGGCGAAAACAGTGACCCCATCCAGAGCAGGGTGCGTCGAAGGATAGTGTCAGTACTTTGCGTTTCGGTGAGGCAGTTTACCGCAACCGTTGCAATCACCAAGGAAAGGTTTCCTCTAGAAGTTTGGCTACCCGACAGCGACACCAAATTGACCAACAATCTCATGACTCACGACTATTTGTCGTGCAAAATCCTGGTATCCTACAGTGTACTTGTTGTGAAAGGACCTCTGGTCTGCATTGCTGGCAGAGGGCCACCGTCGCCGATCCATAAGCTCCAAATTACCCACCGCGGGGGTATTGCCCGTGATCAAAGCAACCGATTCTGGGTGCACGGCTTGTATCATCTTATTCGAAAAATTAATGTCAAAGGTTGGAACAAAGTCATTTTGTTTCTGTTGTTAAAAAAAGGTGAGAGTACCGCTTTTTGCGAGTCGAACTTTTAAAGTGTTCAGCGAGTGGACGAAAAGCTATGCCACGACTGACTCGTACACGCGCCTCATCTGCACGAGTTCTTCTTCGCTTCAAGGCGGACTTCACTGGAGACTTTTTTATACAGCCACGCCCGTAGCTCACAACTGCATTTGACAAGACACAGCGAAACGAAACGCCTGTGCACGACGTGAGAACGATTCTGGAGAAGTCCAGCAGAAACCAGACAAAGATGAAGACGATCACGGAGCTGGCTCCGCCGAAGCTTGACATGTCGGAGCAGGATAGCGAACTGTTGCGCGAGCTGGCCGAAACGCTTACGGTGCACAATATCCAGCAGTACAACACACTGCTCAAGACCAAGGATGGCTTTGCCGATAACCGCCGCTGGAAGGAAGTGCGCCGAAAGGATGGTGTCCGAGTTTACCGCGAACGCAGCCGTTACAATGGTCTGCCGTCCACGCCGTCGCTACTTCTTCTTGGTACCATTGAGGGTAAGCTTGACGACGTCATGTATGGCGCCGTGGCCACCACAGACGAGGCCATCCGCATCAAGTCCACCTGCATTCAGGACGGTATCATCGACAGCAAGGTGCTACATGAACTGGTTCAGCCCACCGTGGACGATCCATTCCACCACGTGAGCGTCAAGTGGCGACTCTTCAATAACCAGCGTGACTACGTGTCGCTGGACACTACGGGCATCGCGCACACGGTCAAGCGCGAGCGGATCGGTTACAATATTTCCCACTCGGTGGCTTTCGCACAGATCCCTGGCATGGAGGAGGCACACGGAATCGAGCGAGGCAACAGGTCAGTGTGTTCACTTTATCTCCAGAAAACCCCGACAACCGTTGAGTGCTACGTGCGCGGCTTCTTTGACTTCCACACACAGAACGAGATGATCAACACCATGTCATTTCAAGCCATTGCAGCGCAGTGGTCATGTTTTGCACGGAAGCGCGACTGTGCACTGATGAAGAAGCTGGTTTGGCGTATGCGCAAGAGCTCAGGATGCACGGCGTCGCTGTCTCTCCACCCTACCGACGACCGGCCATCGCTTACCCAGCAACCACCAGCTCGAATTCGAGGTCGGTGTGCCGTGTGCTCAAGAAGTTTTGGCTTTCTAGGTACAAACCATAAGAGCTGCAAGAGTTGCCTACGCAAAGTTTGTTCGCGATGCTGCTCCAAACAGCTCGTGTGTATCTTGGCTCCTGACCAGCGCACTGTTCTCGGGAAGAAGCGAAGCTTCTGCTCCACATGCCTCTCAGATGCGGCTAACTGCGATGCATTGGAAGTGGCTCGAGAGGAGCTGGCTAGCTCAAAGGCGTACCGGGAGGCATGCCTGCTCAAGGCTCAAGAGATGGCACGGACATCCAGAGCTAGCTTTATGCAAAGTGCAGTCTCCCGCCACAGTCGGATCAATAGCCGAAGCCAGATCGGCCGCAATTCTGTAGTTGCATAGTCGTGAGAAAGAAATCAGGTGATAATACATGTAAGTCGCACAAGAACTATAATAACAATCGATTAGTCTATTTCATTTACGTGCTGGCTATTTGGATTCTACCGTAGCGCACGCAAGCAAATGCATCACCGGGTAACCCGGCGGGTTGAATTGAAAAACGAACGCCGCAGATGAAGCTGACACTTGTTTTTCTTTTGTAAGGAGGTACAATGATCATTGAATGATGGAACGCACGCACATGTTGAAGCAGACGGGTCTCGAAAGCTCCGAAAGCTTTCAACTGTGACTCACAGTGTGAGGCTGACTGTAGCTCGGCGATTTGTTGGAAACTTGCATGTTAGAGCGGGAACTCAGCAGAGCTCTGAATGCAGCAAATCAAAATTTAGGGCGTTGCGCAGGAAGCCGCCCGTGCATAGAGCCAAACACCAAATAATTGCATATCGACTCGACATTATCGAGGCAAGTTCTTGCGCGCTACCCAAACTACGGTGTACCACTGTTTGAGTTTGCTATCAAAGTTGAATAATTCTCACAACGTGTTTTTGAGCTACATGGCGGTCATTCCAGGGGGTCCGAAAATGATATTGTTATTTATCGTAGTAGCATCTTCACGATAAATTATCGCGAAGCTAGCTTGTATGTTGGCAATACGTTATGATGCTTTAGCTAGAAGACCAATAAATAATTGAGTTACTGCTGCAATAACCAAGGTTTATTGAATCAATAACAGGTATCTACGCTCGAGTTGCTGTGTCAAGTGTTTGTGCGTCCCAGTAACCAGCATTTTCGCGCAGGGAGAGAATCATTTCTAAAGTAATGGGCTGCAGTCCATGGCGTTCTTGGCTAAACGTGGTATGAGCAACGCTAAAAAAGCGCTCCACCACGTTGGACGTCGCAGGGATTGCATGCAAGAGCTCGTACTTGGTCTCCTTCGCATCAAGTCGGCGTCTCTTTTGAAGCAGCTGGACGAACGAACTTTCGCCGTCGTCTACGTCTTCACTCACTGCAGGAGGGCCTGTCGACCTGAACGGAGTCAACACTGTTTTTTTCAGCTCGCGTGAGGCGGGCTGCATTGCCGCCTAAGACCCGTACATGTGGTGTAGTGATTTCTCCGTGGTTGCGGATTATCACCCGTCGACAAAGACGTGACACCGCCCAAGTTGTTCAAGCGACGAACCCTCGGTCGAGTGATGTACGGAGACGCCAAGGTGCAAGGGACTCGACGGCGTCACCTCCGAGTTTTCAACAAATATCGGATACGGCCCTATGTCACTGAATCCAGGCTGTCCTTATTATTAATAATGGACTGACCGGATTCGCATTCAGCGGACCATCTACGGTACGAACTCTCAGTGGCGGTTGGGATGAGTTCGCGGAATACTCAGCGACCTTTGGAAGACACGTTAACCGTCTGGGACAAGGCGCGGACCGTTAAAGATGCTCATGCGACAGTGCAGACGACGCTTGGCATGCAAGAAGATCCATAACGGATCATTGTTCACTTGATATTTGTATACTTGATTAGAACTTCTTATTAGGAATAGATCCGAAAGGGTAAGCTTAAATACAAAACAGAATTTCCACTCAAGCACACAGAGCGACGTCCGGCTTCAAGGTAAGCGTCAGGTCAAGCTTGTTTGAGTGTGTTATGCCTGTCGGTGAACTCGAAGCTCTGTAGCGAGGGTTCATCCGGCAAGGCCAAGAGACTTTGTGTATTGGCCGATTATTATCGGGAGGTTTTACGTGACGGCTTATTGTTGCCTATTTGCACGACTGGGAGTGCTTGAATTGCCTCCCTTTTATTTCTTCCAGCCGAGTGTTGAACACTCGGTGATCTCGTAAAAGGCTTACCCGTGCCTGGTACCCTTCCGCTGTTGGGACCACGAGGATTCAAAACACCTGCTAGCTTTGCTCGTGCTAGTAGCGTGTTCTTATTTTACTGGTTGGCCTATATAAGTAGTTTACAAGGTCCAGTTTGTCCCGGTGCAAGGGCAGAACTGGGGTCTTCAGGTCCGCCCGAACGATCGTTTACTATCCTAGTAGACGTATTGTTGTGGGAACATCCTAACTACATCTGTAGCTAGAGTTCACGTGGGATTTCCAACACCACAACTGGTGCCGCGACCCGGGAACAGATTGTGACCATTGTGAGCTGTTTGTATGGCCTTCCAGTTTACGAGCTACCAAGAGAAGAAGAGCAAGAAAAAGAAAAGAAACATGGCGAAAGGACAACCGACGGTACCAGTTACGCCTGCCAAGTCTGGCGGGCTCGCAACGAGAGTCAAGCCCGGCTGCGCGCTTTGCAGCCGCCACCGAGCTTTCAGTGAGCTTCGACGACGAAGCGGACATCGGTCCTGACGCCCACGATTATGAAGATTACGAAGATAAGACGCCGGCTCCAGAGCCAGGCGCAGCGACGCCGGAGACGGCCACGCTATCATCGGGGCTGATCGGGGCGACCAAGTCCCTTTCGAGGAACCTCGCCGACGAGCTCGATGATGTTGCGGGACCGGAACCGGCCTATGATGATTATGACGATGGAACCGATGGTTTTAAACCTTCGGTGGCGAGTGCAAAGCATTCAGCACTGCTGAAGGCACCTCGCCCACCTATCAACGGTGATACACCAGCCGCCAAGCGCGTTTTCGACCGCGTACAAGCGCTGATGCAGAATGATGAGTGGATGCAGCTGTTCAAGCCCATCCCCAAGAAAAAGGCCGACTGGCCTGCGCTTGCGCAGGAACTTCAATACCCAGTCAACTCGGTTTCGACTAGTCAAGTTGCCGAGGATTCAGTTTCGCTACTGTCGTCGCTGGGGTTCGAGAACAAGACGTACCCATCGACGATGTCGCTCCAGGATTGGAGTCCACATGAAGCCGGAGCTGCTCTCCAGAAATGGAAGAAGAAGCTTCGGAAGGCGTTTGGCGCTGTTGGCATCAATGCCGGTACGCTTTCGTCATATTCTTGTCCTTCTGTCCTTTTCATGGCTGTGTGCTCTTCCGTCTTTAC